TTTACATTTTTATGTTCATTTTTTCGATTTCTGGTTTCTGGTTTTCGATTGTGATGGTGATTTTTCCGATTGCCACATTTTTTTAATATTTCGGNCTGGTTTTCGATTGTGATGGTGATTTTTCCGATTGCCACATTTTTTTAATATTTCGGATACCGAAAAATTAACTGAACTCTCAAGAAAAACGAAAAATTCATATAAAACGACGGACGAGAAATGGAAAAGAAATTTTCTTCTACCAAAATTTCTTAAACCAGTTTGCAGCTCTCAAGAAAAAAATGGTCGTATATTTATTTTCTCATGAAAATTTACAGCAAAAGCAAAGCGCTTTTTTCAGCAACAGACATTATAATAAATATTTCTTATGATTTCCTTGAGAGCTGGATTCTTAGCTTTAAGATACAGTTTGTATTTGAGGTTATTAGCTTTAGGGGGGGTTTGAACCCTAAAACCCACCCCTTGTGTGCGCTAATGAATGCATTATCTAGATTTTGAACCTTAACTGTGCATGTATGCATTACTTCGTGTTTGTCATATGCGTTATTTCGGTTTTCAAACGAAAGTGTGCATATATACATTATTTCGGTTTTTTTCATATGCGTTATTTCGGTGTTCAGCCGAAACTGTGCATATATGCATTATTTCGGTTTTTTTCATATGCGTTATTTCGGTGTTCAGCCGAAACTGTGCATATATGCATTATTTCGGTTTTCAAACGTAAGAGTGCATATGCATAATTTCGATTTTTATAATATGCATTATTGCGGTTTTCAACCGAAACTGTGCATATATGCATTATTTCGGTTTTCAAACGTAAGAGTGCATATGCATAATTTCGATTTTTATAATATGCATTATTGCGGTTTTCAACCGAAACTGTGCATATATGCATTATTTCGGTTTTCAAACGTAAGAGTGCATATGCATAATTTCGATTTTTATAATATGCATTATTGCGGTTTTCAACCGAAACTGTGCATATATGCATTATTTCGGTTTTCAAACGTAAGAGTGCATATGCATAATTTCGATTTTTATAATATGCATTATTGCGGTTTTCAACCGAAACTGTGCATATATGCATTATTTCGGTTTTTTTCATATGCATTATTTCGGTTTTCAGCCGAAACTGTGCATATATGCATTACTTCGGTTGTTTCGTATGCATTATTTCGGTTTCTTTCATATGCATTATTTCGTATTCACAGTTTCCATATGCACAATTTCAGGGTGCCAACAAAATTACTGTTTCTAAAATGTTTGGTAAAAATAAATTCCCCAAAGAGCCGCATTTGAAATTATTGAGAAGAATATAGGTAACATCAAAAGCAAATCACGAAAATTTTGTGTACACTTTCTTCTTTTGTGTCTAGTAGTTTTTTTAAGATTGGTCCAAAAAAAATCATAAGAAAGAAACTAATGCAGGTATTCAAAGCACAGAAAAAAAAAATATTGGCAAAAACACTCTGTTCTCTTTGACGTACGTCTAAGGTCAAGTAGAAGTGGGGACTTGTATGACTACCCATTGATAGCTCGGTTAGATAGCTTAAGAAATAATATTTTTAAAGACATTTTTATCAAAGTTGATAAATATGACATTTGACCAGTTTTGTTACACAAATACTCCCACGACCACAGGCAAAAATATTGGCTACAATTTTTCATTTTGTTTGCCATATATACATATACGTTTTATCGGTGCACTTGCACAACATTCGCATTCGCAAAAGCTCCGCATTGATTATTGAGATTGAGATTCAAATGCTTATAAAAAAACGGGGTGCAACAATAAATAACAATATTCAATCCTGGAAAATAATTTATTTTCCATATCAGCTCGTTATAAGCACAAATTTTTCAAACCAGTCGCAGAAGAAAGTATTAAAAATGAATTACAAATACTAAAATCGAAAAACGCTTATGAAGTTACAGATTCCCCAAATTCTGAAATAGCCAAAGGAATGAGAATGAAGAAGTTTCGACAACTAAAAATATTTGGAATTTTGACAATATTTGGGCACTGTTACCAAGGATTAGAAACTAATACCATGGGTTGGTAATTATAACTAAATATATTAAAGCTTCTAATATTTATCTAGGTTGTACCAAATCTTTAGTTTTGTTTTTCGGTGGGAAGGAATGTAAGAATATGCACAAATATATGGATTATGGTAGTAATATATTTCGTTGATTGATGCGATGGCGAAGGATTTAAATTTTATTTGTGTTGTGCCATGACGTGTTGCACGGTCATATGCTGGACATAGCTTTGCGAAGTCCTTTCGCAACATCGGATTGAGTGCTACTGTCAAGTTTTTCAGTGAAAAATTCAGATGGAATAAGCAGTGTGGTTCCGTATAGGAGCTCAGCTGGTGATGCGTGAAGATCTTCTTTATATGTGGTGCGTAAGCCTAACAAGATTGTAGGCAAGAACTCAGTCCACTTGGTTGTGTCAATACATAACATTGCTGCTTTTAACGTTCTATGCCAACGCTCAACGAGTCCGTTGGATTATATGTGGTACGCGGTTGTGCATAGGTGAGTTATTCCAAGACTTTTAACAAGCTCTGCAAAAAGTGAAGACTGAAACTGCTTCCTTGGTCGGAAGTTATGATAGCTGGTACCCCAAACCTAGAAAACCAGTTTTCAATGAGTGCCTTTGCTACGGTTGGAGCAGTCATGTCAGCAATTGGGAATGCTTCAGGCCACCTTGTAAACCTGTCCACAATTGTAAAGCAGTAGCGGTGTCCATTGATAGGTGGAAACGGGCCGACAATATCTATGTTCATATGGTGAAAACGTTTATTTGGAATCCCATAGGGCCGCAGCTCTGAAAATGTGTGACGGTGTACCTTGACCTTTTGGCATTCGATGCAGAATTTTGCGAATGCACGACTTTCCTTTTCTATTCCGGGCCAAACGAATCGCTTTGTCATCAGTTTCGCTGTTGCACGTGTACCAGGGTGGCGTAGGTTATGTGTTGATCGTAGTACCACTTGTCGAAACCGTTTAGTAATGAACGGTTGAGATATCACAATATAGCTGCTTAGTACTTCCTGGTATCAACACCGTTTTTAATTGAAGAGAAGAATTTTTGTCGTGTAAAAGTTGTTTCAGCTCTTCGTATTTAAGTTGATCGTCAGCTATATCTTCATAGTTAATTTGTGTTGTTTCAACAGAATTGAGTCTGGAAAGAAGGTCAGCTGTTATATTTTTGCTCCCGACTATATGGCGAATGTCGGTTATTATTTGCGATATGTAATCAAGTTGCAGTGCTTGTCTGTTTGAAGCTTTGTCCAGTGATTGTCGAAACGCGTATACCAGTGGCTTATGGTCCGTAAATATATGACCTGCACGGCCCTCTAGCATAAATTTGAAATGCCGGACTCTAAGTAAATCGCAGTTAGTTCTCGGTATTATGTACTATATCGTACTTGGGCTTTATCGAATTTTTTGGAGAAATAACCAAGCGGCTCTAGAGTGTTACCACTTACCTGGTGGAGCACCGCGCCTGCTGCAAAATTTGATGCAGCAACCCACAACGAGATTTCTGCTTCCTTGGACGGATGAGCCAATATCGCTACGCCGGCGAGTTGATTTTTACACTGCTCGAATGCTTCAGTGGTTTCATTAGTCCAATTGAGCATCAGTTTATCATTCTTGATGTTACCTGGACACATTTGCAAAAGTGGCGCTTGAATTGTAATGGAGTTTGGAATAAAGCGCCCGTAAAAATTGATTGTAGCCAAAAACCGTTTGAGGTCTTTGACTGTTGTTGGTTTACAGCAGTTTTTGATTGCTTCAACGCGGCTGGGTAATGGTTTGATCCCGGCCGAAGTTACCAAATGTCCAAGGAATGTTATCTCACTTTTACCGAATTCAGATTTAGCTGCGTTGATTTTGAGGTTATATTGCTGTAAATGCTCGAAAAGCTGGCGCAGATGAGACATGTGCTCTTCAGCGTTAGTTGAAGCAACGCAAATGTCATCGATGTACGGAAAGACGAAGTCTAACTCTCTGACCACCTCATGAATTAACCTTTGAAAGGTCTGCGCAGCATTTCGAAGACCGAATGTCATGAATATAAACTCGAATAGGCCAAAAGGAGTTGAAATCGCTGTCGTCGGTTAACTGGTACCCGGTGGAATGCCTTTTGGAGATTGATTTTCGAAAATATGGGCTTTCCCTGCAAATTGCTAGTAAAATCTCGAAGGTAAGGGATTGGGTACCGATCGGGCATTGTCATGGAGTTGAGCGCTCTGTAGTCGCCGCAAGGGCGCCAGGCACCATCAGCCTTTTTGACCATATGTAATGGACTCGACCAATTGCTGCTGGAGGGTCCACATATTCCGAGTCTTATTAGTGTCTCAAATTCAGCTTTTGCAGCCGCAAGCTTGTCTGGTGATAGACGCCGAGGACGAGCGAATACCAGGAGACCATGTGTCTCAATATGATGCATAACCCTAGTATTAGTAGTTGTCCCCGGTTGAGCAAGATGTGTGATGTTCGGAAATTCTATAAGTAGGTCCGCATATGGTGATGATGAGTTAAATGATTTTATTGACGTTTCAGAACTTTGGGAAATTTTACCAACGGACTGTGCCTGCGTAATGTTGTCAATCAAGCGTTTGAGTTTGAAGTCAACGAGAAGGTCGAAATGCGACAGAAAGTCCGCTCCAATTATTCCTGAGTTAACATCGGAGATTACGAATTTCCATACGAACTCTCTGCGTAATCCGAGGTCGACTTTAAGGAAGGACTCGCCGTAGACATGAATTGGTGTTCCGTTTGCAGCAAAAAGTTTTAATGTTGTGATTGTACATTACGAAGCACGGGTGCTTTTGGGAATAACTGAGACGTCGGCGCATGTATCACTGAGGAAATTGAAATTTGTTGTTGAGTCAGTTATACAAAGGCGGTGTGGAGCTGCGACAACACCTTGAGCTGTCTGTGATGCAGCTTCAGCTGGTTGGCGTCACTTAGTTGGTGAAGGCCGTTGACTATACGTGCATGGCTCTTTGAATTTGCGAGCATTTTCACCAAATTTCGCGTGATACCAACAATTTTCGTCCTGAATGTCTGCTCTGCTACGTGACTTGCTACGAATCCTAGTCGAATTTCGTTTTTTTGCGAGTCTGTCGAAGCGTTTTGAAAGTTGGGAAATTTCTTTCTGAAGAGATTTAAGCGTAGCTACAACGTCTGTCGAATCGGCTGTTGGTGATGTGTTCGAGCATCCATTAATAATTGCGTTGATACCTCGAAGGTTCACTGAGTCTACAATTGCATCGGCGATGGTAGTTTTATCAACGGCTGCTCCTTTTGACGCAATTACTGCCGCCTGAGTATGAGGAGGTAACCGTGAAGCCCACAAATCTATCAACACGGTATCACACAGTGCATTACCTGCGACGCGCTGCATCTCGTTAAACAACTGACTTGGCTTTAAGTCTCCGAGGGGCATGTCAGATAAGACGCGTTGCGCTCTCCTCTGCTGGCTTTCGGAAAAATGGGTAATTGCTCTTGATGTATTTGTAGCGGATCTGCGACGGTGCTGCATTAATAATTGCTTGCAATTCTTTCAATTTATTTGGAGGCACTTGCGTCATGACAAGATTAAATTTTCGTGAATCATGGGTCACACCTGTTGCGGCGAACCAAAATTTAAGCGACATAAAATAGGACTCGATGGTCATATTTGGTGGATTGATGCGAGGAGCAGCTGCCGCATCAACGTGTGTTATGGTACGCATACTTTGAGAGCAGCAGTGAGTGCAGGCGGCATGACACAATGGGGTGCACTGTGGCTAGTCATGTCGTCTGGGCGGGGTTCTTGCCTCACAACTGTTCCCTGCGCCATAGCAGAGAAAGGTCATGCCTGTCAAACATCCCATCAGACGGACACACAACAATGCAAAATTCACAAGAAATCCGTTACAAAACAAAAAAAGTATGTTATTCAGGCAATTATATTAGCGACAAAGTTAACTTTAGTAAGGCAGGTAAGTAAGCCAGTTCCCTATATTTATATAATTAAAATTTTAATTAATTTTTCTCGCTTTAGGTTTTTAAAATATTTCCTTTTAATTTTCTATTTTTTTTCTTCTCTTTTGTTTGTATAGCGTCCTGTTTTCGTTTAATATCTCGATTTTATTTTGAATTTTTTATTTTTATTTTTATAATTTTATTATATTATTATGGCGGATATTTCTTTATTATAATTTAGTATTTTATTTAAAATTGTCTCAGCTGACCTTTTAGTAAGGATTCGCTTTTGGGTTATTTTATTTATACATAATTTTCCATTTTATTCATTTGAAATTGATATTTATTGAGGATTATGTGTTTTAAAATTTAATTCCATTAATTTAATATAATTTTATTTTAATTTAATCTTACTTGATTTTATTTCATTTTTATTTTACGTAATTGGATTTTATTGAGTTTAATTTTAGTTAGTTTAATTTAATTTCACTTTAATTTCATGCAATCTACTTTTATTTAAGATTTTATTGTTTTTTTTCTATTTAATCTAAGTTAATCAATCCTAACTTCTATTTCACGTATATACCTATATATGCATATATGTATACACATTAGAGTGGCCTTTTTGTTGTATGAAAAATTTGAAATGCATGAATCCAAAAGTTTTCGCACAGAATAATGTGAGGGAGGGGATATAAATAAATACATAATTAGTTTAAAAGCCTTCAGGTGATTCCTAGAGGTTCCGGGTTGAGCTTTTTCGACCAAAAATGTCGAAATTACACCAATCTCTTTTTTTTTTAAGTAAGTATTAGAAAAATTCTACATTATGCTTTATTTAAAATGATATTAAATATTATTATTATTAGATATTAAATGATATATTGATATAAATGATGATTTCATATTTTTCTCAGCTTTAATATTATCGTGCACCATGGTTTTTCAATTAATGTCAGACTTTTTGAGCACTTTAAAAACGTAAAAGTATTCAGTTTTCAATAAAAACAGTTCAGGAATAAAAAATTGGGTTTCATGGTCGTAAAAGCTGAAAATTTAAAATGATAGTTTCAATTTCAACATATTTCCTATTAAAAAATCAAAATGATCAACCCGGAACCACTCGGAATTTTTGGATCCGGAAAACACGTATTTTATATTTATTTTCCTTGCCAACCTCATGTTTTTTCGTGCGAAAACTTTCGGTTTTTGAAAATTGACCAAAAAAGGCCCCTCTAATACACATGTATATACATATATATATATAATCACCCATGTATATACTTATACCACATAAGAATGAGAAAAAAAATCGTTTGCTCTTACTATTATTAACTTCCTCTAAGCTTTTTCTTTCGTGTATATTTAATTTTCAGCTTTGTTTTTCATTTGTTCTTAGTTTTTTTTCAAAAATTCTGATTCTTAAAATTTCTTCCTTTGTTTTCTCTCTAAGTTTACAGCTTACTTTCTTAAATAATTTTTCTTTATTTATTTATTCATTTTGTTTTTGTTTTTTTTTTCTCCTCCCTAATGTGCACGTTTGCACCTTGGACTCACCCACCGTAGCAGCAGGCCTAGGTGGGGGCCTGCTGTTGTTGTTGCTGCAGGTGTCGTTGGTGTTGCAACCGCTACTCTGCGGTTGTTGTTGCCGGTAGCCGGGTGTTATTGTTGTTGCTGTGGCTACTTGCCGTCGTTGCCAGTTGTTGATATTGCGGCTGCTGATGTGGTCTCGCTGGTTGTTGTTGTTGGTGCTGCTGCTGGTTTGACCCGGGTGCTCACCCCGGTTGTTGTTTGCCGCTTCCGCGGTCGCTGACTTGCCGCTCTTTGCGCGGTCGCTGGCGCTTGGGCGGTTGCTAGTGACCCGGGTGCTTACCCCGCTTGCTGTTGGTGTTATTGGTGCCGCTCCTTAGGCGGTTGTTGAGTGGGATGGAATAGCTGCAAAAAAAAACACTGAATTTTAGTTTTAAATTGCAGTTGAGTTCCTTGCCTACACGTGTATGTTAAAATTTTGGATTTGAGGCGCGCGTTTGCCCACAGCACCCTAAAATCATTGTACAAATAACCAAATCCCCCTTGACTGTTCGACACTGGACTCGTCCATGGCGTCAATTTTAAAATATATGTACGTGTGTGTTTGCTTGCTCCAAGTTACTCCATTCAAATAAGAAGCTGGAGCAGAAAATCGTGCTCTCAACGAAGGTAAAGTGCTTTGGAGCGAGGAAATCCTCCAGGAGCACCCAGAGCAGCTCATTACACAACTTATGGTTATTTGTATTAAAGAAGACTTACCTTGATTTCGGCTGCTGCGGAAACTGCTGGTTGTCGTTTGGCGGGATCGGTGCTTGTAGTTGGTGATAGGGCTCTGTAGCTGAGCCTTCCGCACAGTTTGGGTACTGGATGATGGTATGGATTCCCTCCACCCAGTGGCTTATTTTATTTTAGCACTATTGTTCATATTTTTTTAAATTAATTTTACTGAATTCTTCTCTTTTTTTGTTCAAAGTTTTGTTTTAGAAAAATGTGTCACTTTTTGTTTGCTTCGCTAGTTGACCGGTCCGAGTTTATCAAAACGATTTCGCTAATGGCCGACTTGTGGGGCTGTCATCAGGTTTTTATACCCTTACATTGCGGGAATATTCCATTTGGAAGAATAACGGGCACTGCGTCATTTGGACTAGTTCCGTTACTCTTCCAAATGGAATTTGCCGCAGTGCAAGGAGGAATATCAAAAAAAAATCCGGGGTTGCCGTGACTCCTTTGCAAGTATTTTTTCCGGACTTACCAATTTCACAGTTTTGCGATGAATACGAACGTCAGAATTTTATCTAGCTCATGTGCTAGGTAAAATTTTACAGGTTCTAAATGTAATCAGCCTTATCATGAGTTTCATTTTATCCGAACCGGTTCACTTTTCCCTTTTTGGTTTCCATGTATTTACTATGGCGGATGAACAATTATCGGGCGAAACTCAGGATAAGGCAGAATATTGTTGGCAGTAATAAGGAGTGAAAATCAAAATGGAATCTGATAAATTAAAAAGAATGTACGTTACTTGCAAGTTATAAAATAGATGTAAATTTAACAATTCCAGCAACACACAAACTAGAGTTTTTGCACGAGCGTTTGTGTGGTTTTTCACTTGTCAAAATTTTCTTTTGGCGTTTTGCACAGCAAAATACTATTTATTTGTACACCATAGCAAATTTTTCCCACCCAACTGCTTCACCAAAGTCGATGTAATCATTGTAGTCATCGTTATCGTCGACAATCGTCAGCGCAACACATGACGCAATAATAGGTGCGTTCGTTTAAAATCTCCAACAGAAACCAACCAACTGCCAAATTCCGGCGAAATGTCATCTGTTCGCTCACAAGAGAGAAATATCCAAAATAGTACGCGAACAGAAAATTTGCAGAAACTTGCAAGTTAGACGAACAGCTGATATAATTTTTGTTTACATTCAAAAGTGTAAAATTTAAAACGTACGAAAAGTTATCACAAAGTGTTATACTGACACAGTTTATTGATTAAACAAATAACTACTTATTTCTTACAAGTTTAATTAGTCGCATTTTGTAATTTTTAACTTCCAAACCATCAAATTCAATTTTGTGATTTGCGTAAATGCCAACCAGCTGTTTTTGATCAGCTGTTTTCCTGTTGGCAAATTGTTGTTGGCAAAAATTTTTCCAGCAGAAATTACTCTCACGAATTCTGCTGCAATCGGCGCTTGTATTCTATCATTCTTGCGTTTACGCTGCGTCGTTGACTAACTGCGCTTTAAGGCAGTCTGCACACGGATTGTATAGCTTTAGACACGTATTATACGGTAGACAAACGGGCTCGATTATTTGCATAACCAGCCCTTATTGCATTTTCCTCTTTGAAATGAGCATAAGCAGCCGAACAAATGCACAAAATTTTTGGAAATTAACTCGGGTCCGGGGAGTTTTCGAAGACAACACTGGTAAAAACGGCCAGTTGTTGTCTTTTGTACAAGTAAGCAACCGAACCAGACGAGTTTCGTGTACGAGGTAGCCGAGTGGAGAGAGTTGCGGGCTACAAGCCTGCAGCTGCCAGGTTCGACCTTCGGTTGAAGAGATTGCGAAACAATTTTTATTTTTATTATTTATTTTATATTTTTTATATCATTTTATTTATATTTTTAATTTTACTTTATTTTGTTTTCATTTGCTTTATTTTATATCACATTTCTTATTTCACTATTAGTTAATTTGAATTTTTAGAGTTGAATTTTATTAAAAAGTCAACAACAACTAACTCAAAGCAACGTAAAAAAAATATAGAACTTATAAAAAAAAGAATGAAAAAGAAATAAAAAAAGTCTACTGGCCGTGGGACTCAACCCACGACCTTGCGGTTGGTTTATCCGCATAACTGCCGTAAAGGGTAAAATTTTAATTTGCATTTATGCT